TGCAAATTAGACTTTTAAAGCACTGTTTATATAGCTTTGCATATAGCATTCATTCTGTCTCGCTGAGTGGCCAAAAATGAGGGGGTTTTGGTGGGAAACTGGAGCGGGGTCATGGGGAGAGTCAGGGGTCAAAGGTTGTGACCCCTTCTCTGCCCATAACCTTTCAGTACGCCCACTCCAGCCTGTATAGATTAAGCAGGTGTCCGAATCCATTAGTACAGCGAAGTGGATATAAACAATCTTGTTAAATGTCCATGAAATCATAAACGTGCAGATGGTGTCTGGTGGTCAGATCCACGGTTATTGTTTGTTGTTAAATTCAACTGAACATAAATACTTGAAACTATGTAGGGATTTAGCTATAATGGGACAAAAATGGGACATGGAAAAAACCCTCAAAACCATTATGTACCTGACTTAAACTGTACAGGACTACAACTGCATGGGAGAACACAACTATTTATTCAGAAAAAAAGTATTACGACACAATACAGATTAAATCAAACCGAATAAACTGGTTTTGACCAACTAAACTTTTGTCCAGTTGACAAATTGAATTTCTCCTTTTGCCATGGATTCTATTAGCCAGGCTGGCGCCACCTAGTGCCTCCACTGAATTTCATTTCTCTCCAGTGACTAGATCAGGAATCAGAATACAATAGACGGTTTGCAAGAACTCTGGAAGTGTGAGTTCGGGCACCAGCCAATCAGTGAAGAGCCATACATTCTGTGTTGGCAACTATTCCTGAGACTGAGATTTTAAAGTCAGAATAAAGAGAATGTTTAGTGAATTTTATGAAGGAGAAAGACGTTATTGCCCTTCTTTTCTTTGGGAAAAGCTTAATATACCAGTTAGCTCCGTTAGTGGTGCATTACATACATCACGACCAAATAGCAGCGATTGGTTAAATGAAAAAAGTACTCGCCTACTGTCGAGTGAACAAATTCTAACACCACGAAGTGAAACCAGCTGATGAATCAGGCTAGGATTCTACCTGGAAGACTGAGGGATTTTACACAAATACAGATTAAACTTGAATCATGAGTTTAATGTACCTTTTTACATAGTACATAATCCCAAAAATAACATGTCTTCAGCTCAACTCACTCACTAACTTCCCTTTTCTGCTGTTGTCTCATACAAATCCTTATAACCTATAATTGATGAATACAAATTTGGTCAACGAACACCACTGACTGAATAATTGATCAAATGACTAAAAGAAAGCAGACCTAGTTAGTATATCTGTAAATGAGCGGTTCAAATGGGAACTGTGGGTGAGATGCAAAGTTCAACCCACTGTTTAACTTTGTATTAATTCTAGCACACGTTACAAAAACAGGTAGAGCAGGAGATTACTGTCATAATCCTGCGTGCATGACTGACAGCCGAGTCAGTGAAAAACACCTCCTTTCCCTCATCTCTACACTTCCACCATTGTGTATTTCCAAATGCGGGTGCTCTTTTGTTGAAATAACATATTCTACCTGTGTATGCCTCTTGTGACGCTGATAAGGTAAAAACAACAAGTTGCATCTCGGGGTGCAATGCAAGACGTCACCAAAACATCACCAGACTGGCTACAAATCCAATCGTTGTGGTGTTTACAAATGCCAGAGGGAGTATCATATCACTGTCTATGAGCATACGCACATGTGTCAGACCAGTATTGTTTATGTTAGCTTCACCGCTAGCTGCCACGGTTGATCCCGGTGCCAGTGAGTTTAGCATCACTCCATCCGTGCCTCTGCCTGTACCCATCCCCCTTCTTGCCCCCTCTCGCACCCCAAAGTCCACCCCACCCCCATTTTCTGCCCCCGCCTCCCCGCTACCCCACCAGTCGTCCTCTTAGCCTATATACGACTCACCCAATGGTCTGTGCAGCTAGCTCGAGATTCATCAGAAGACTCCGGCTAGCATCACTCAATCCGACAAGCTCAGCGTTAGAAAAACAGGCAAAGAATGGTGCTACTTGCCTAGATAATGAACGGCTGGTCAGAGAAAGCAGCTTTGTGATCAGGTGGATGGCAAACAGACAGAGCAGTCCCGCCTTCTCTTGTGTGGTGGGAAGAGGCGAGGATTACGACAGCAGCAGCAGTAGTAGTGAGGCAAAGCAGGAGCAGCAAGGATGTCATGAATTGAATCAGAAATGAAAGCTGGATTTTGGGGAGGCTGAGGGTTTGGGAGTGTAAAGATTGAGTATGCTGAACGAGCAGAAAAAGAAAATGACAAATGTCTGGTCTGAAGATAGAGAAAAAGCCTAAAAATGAGAAGTCTGAAGATTAACTACACAAAAAAACAAACAAAAAATCCAGATTCAATTTAAGAATCATGACTTCATGCTGAACATGCAGAAAAAGAAGCAAAACAAATGCCTGGTCTGAAGAAAGAGAAAAAAGAAGGGGGAAACAATACAGCCTAAAAATGAGAGTTTGAAGATTAACTAGGAAAAAATATAAATTAAACTCAAGAATCATGAGTTTATCTGCTTTTTACATAGACCTACACATCAAAAAAATACAAAATCTTCAGCTAATTTTGGAGAGGTTGAGCTTTGTGAGTCTAAGAAAGTTTGGGTATGCTGATGCTGAACATGCAGAAAAAGAAGATGACAAATGTCTGGTCTGAAGAAAGAGAAAAAAGAATGAAAAAAGACAGCCTAAAAATGAGAAGTTTGAACACTAACTAAAAAAAAAGAAAAAAGTTTCAGGCTACGTTTATATGATAACGGTCTGAACAGAAGATGTAGAAGAATGTTGTATCGTGTTTTCACTTTTTAATCCTCATTTAGACAAGCGTTATCGGGAGGAAATCTGCATGCATACGGTGACACAAAAGTGTCAGAATTCGAATGGGTATGCATGCCAGGCAGCTTGGTGGTAATGCTAGGTGGTGATGTATGTGACGTAAAAGTGTACATAACGTGTGTAGATCTGACCAGAGTTTTGCGTCTTGGGCAGTGTAGACAGAAAAGCTACGGCGGAGTGTATTCAACTTTTCCACTCTGGAGGGTGGTTTCAGATTTTTGCGTGTTTTTTTAGCCCCAAAAACGCCATCACCGTCTAAATGAAAGGCATTTCAGATAAAATATTCATACAGTCATTTTTATCCGCAAGCATTTCGTGTAAACAGACTCTCAATTTAAGAATCGTGAGTTTATCTGTCTTTTACGTAGAAAAAAATACTAAATCTTCAGCTAATTTTGGAGTGGTTGAGAGTTTGGGAGTGTAAAGAAAGATTGGGTATGCTGAACATGCAGAAAAAGAAAATGACAAATGCCTGGTCTGAAGAAAGAGAAAAAAAAGACTTTGAAATTTGAAGTTTGCATATTAAACTGAATCTGTATTATTGTGTAGTTAAGATTCATGAGTTTATCTGCATTTTACACAGGCGTACATAATAAAACATAGCAAATCTTCAGCTAATATTGGGCAGGTCGAGGGTTTGGAGGTGTAAAGAAAGTTTGGGAATGCTGAACGTGCAGAAAAGGAAGCAAAACAAATGTTTGGTCTGAAGAAAGAAAAAGAAGGGAGAAAAAATTATGCCTAAAAATTAGAGGTTTGAATTCTAAGTATTGGAATGGCGCCATTAGTAGCAGGGAGTAACCAGCAATCTAGTCATTTTAAAACGACAAAACTATAAGACATCACCTTGAACAGTCTGAAAACCAGTTGGCATTAGGTCACCTCAGCAACACTACACTAAAAGAGGTGAAGACAAAAATGTGCAACTGTTTTGTGCAAAATGTGCAACTTAAATTTCGTACATTCTCGAGTCCCGTTCTCATGGTTCGAAGAAGATTCATATTCAAAATGTCTAGAATTCAGGAGGTCTGGAATTTGAAAAGTCTAGAAGTGTGAGACTCTGGTAATTCAAGAAGCACCTCAAGAGTGAGTAATGATATTGCCACAAAAACAACATGAACTATTACAAACATTAAGGCAGAGAGGACAAATTTGTTGATTTAGAGGTACACAGACAAAAATGGGGCAATATGGTAATATGGTGGTCGGCCTCCTGGGATTGACAGACAGATCTAAGCAGTCACAGTGTGGACTCTCAGAAGTAGAAGATGGCTATCCACTCTAATTTCCACAGACAACATTACATTATAAAAATTAAATTAGGATTCTCCCAATCGTCATTTGAAATTTATGGAATATTGCTCACCCCCTCCTAAAATGAAAGGCTAGTAGTCTTCTTCGCACAGCACAACCACAGAAACCAAGCTCAGAATAAAAAAACAAGTGGTGGTACTGTGGCAAAAGAAGAAACTCAATATGTGAACTGGACAAAAGATTATTTTGGTAAACTGTTTCGAAGCTCATCTAAGCTGCTTCTTCAGTTCTGGTCAGACACTGGTGGATACTGCCTTATATCTGCCTCAAGGGAAGAGCTGGCTACTCTGAAACTACTCTGAAGTGTAACTTGTTGCAGTAAGGAAGTGTCCACCAGCATCTGACCAGAACTGAAGAAGCAGTTTGGATGAGCTGTGAAACGTATTTGACCAAAATAAAATTTTTTCCAGGTGACAAACTGAAATTCGTCTTTTGCCATGGATTCTACCTGGAGGGTGGTAGTACTGGCAATTGTCTGGCTCTTTTCACACACAAGCAGTCCCTGCATTTTCCTGGTAATTTATCCAGAAAATTGCCAGATCAAAAATACAGTGAAATCGGCTTTGGCTTTGTTCACACATGTCCCTTTTCAGGCAAAATTTTAGGTAAATTCCCAGGTCAGGCGGCATGTTTGAATGGGACTTTATGGGTAATTGGTCAAATTTTTGTACAGAGCTTTTCCATCTTAAGGGCACTCGGAGCACTTTAAAACACTGGAGGCAAGGTGGGTTATGAGTCTTGCCTAAGGACACAATGACAGCATTCATCTGTGAGAGCTGGAATAGCACCACCAATCTGACCACTCAACCAATGATGAGCATGAAATGAATTGACGACATGTCTGAATCATGTCTGAATGTCAGAATCTTAAATGTACTCACAAGGCACAGCGTGGCGGTAGAGGTTGTCTCGGATGGTCTGCTGCAGTTCGTGGTCCGGCGAAGACTTCTGGAAGCGCAAACTTAGGTAGTGTTTGAGGTCTTTGTTCAGCTTATTTCCTATAAACACAAACAAAAACAAAAAACACTTGGTGAGCCCAGTCACACAACCAAAACACCTTAATTGCTAACAATGTTACACAGTGTGAAACAGCAACATTATTTTGGTTCCACAAAGAAAAAAACAAAAAAAACAAAAAAACATAACAAAGCTTGATGCTGTGTGCGTAACCATGAATTGTGCATTTGCCATTGTCACTTGGCTGGAGGCTGGCTGCGTGCTCTCCCACCATAACTTCCCAAACTGCTCGCGCCATGGTTTCTACAGGGAAGCAAGCCTCCTACTGCTAAACCATCTGGACCTCAGACACACATTAGGGCACTGAAGGGCAGAGAGGCTGGAAAGTGTCTGCTAGTAAATGTGTTTGGAAAATTGCAAACCACTACATAACCACCACCAACTAGTTATGAACCGTGAGAAAGAAAAATTAAACCAAGACTAAATAAAGGAACACATTATAGTGGGAAGGTAAACTACTAAACATTTTAACACACTGTTTATTCTTTATTTCCATGATTATTTACATTGTAGATTCTCGCTGAAGACAACAAAGCTATGAATTGACATATATGGAATGTAGTAAATAAAAAATGAAGTCGAAATAACTCAAAATTCAATATAGCCATTTGTTGCTTTGAGCACTTCTTTAGACACTTGGGATTTCTTGACCCTGACAAAGCCCATCGGTGAAGTGAAAACCATTTCAGGTGACTTCATCAAGAAGCTCATTGAGAGAAGGCCAAGGGTTTGCAGTGAAGTCAAGAAAGCTAAGGGTGGAGCCTTTTCTATATATATATATATATATATATATATATATATATATATATATATATATATATATATATATATATATATGCTTGATGTCTTCTGTATCTATATAAACTTGTATATTACCTTTGACTGGTAGTGTACATGGTCAGTAAAAATCAGATGACCAAGAATTAAATCTGCTATTTGGTGCAAGTTTACATGCATAAAAGAAATCTGATCACAAAAAACAGCTGGAGACATGTGTGAGTTAATTAGTGGGTTTAACTGTTTCACTGTTGTATTTGAAAGATAAAATACAATGAAATAAAGCAAAAAACTCAGTATTTAACATGTAATCTTCCTCTTCGTGTTTGTCATCAGCAGTGTTTGTTTACGTGATATTTCAGTACTCTGATAACTCCAGAAGTCAGATAATGATCTGATATTTCGTGTTGTAAACAGAGCCACTGACCAACAGTCTTTCATTTGTTGCAACACATAATTTACCCAATATCTTTGAAAGGTAAGCTGGAAGCATTTGGTTGTCTCCAGCAAACGACCAGTCATAAAAGGCCCCAGATCCTGTTTCCATGGAAACTGTGTGTATGCACGTTTGGAAAGATGTGCGTGTGTGTTTAATAAGATGATTGAGACTGTTAGTATGGAATCGCTCGGCACTGATTGTACATTCTCACAATGCAAAGCACAACAGGCACACCCCACTGCCATGATAACCAGGCCATGTTTCAGAACATACTCGACCATGACTTGCACTGACTTCAGCTCTATCTGCAATATCAGGTTTACATGCATTATAAAAAATAAACCTCATGCCTCAAATCTTTAGTTGTTCCATATCTGGTTCCCATGGCAACACACATTTAATCTAACACCTAATGCCAAAATTAAATAATATTTTATTTCTTTCATTGGTAGTTAGTAATCTTTAGTAACATACATAGATTGTTATTTTACATTTTGTTATTTTAAAACAGCAATGCTGAGGGCCAAAGCATTTCAAAGTAACGGAAAAAAGAGCGTCTGGTTAAGAAAATGTTTGCCTCAAATGTTCCATAATATTGCATTAAACTTATAGACAGGTTTAATGTCAGGAGACAAGCAGTGACAACACCAGGTCAAGTAAGAGGTCAGATCTGTGGAGAGGCCACCCGGCTCACAATAATTTGAATTGTATTGTCAGATAGGTTTAATGCCATGCAATGACACATTGCAAAATCAGTCTACATGTAGGAAAGAGATTGGTGGACCCCCAATAAAAACTAAAAATGCTAGGTGGTCATTTATTTATTTTTTTTATGTCATCCCCAAGATATAAGTTATAGTCCACAAAAAAAAGTAAAATAGTCCAAAAACTATTATAAGATTTAGTTTTCATATTTGGCAGATATCATAGTACTGGTAACCTAGTAAACTCAGCTGCAGACACCTTTCAGAGGCAGACTTCACCCCTGTTTTTGTCTCACAGTCTAAGCACTTTCTTGGAAAGATTTTGGTTCTGGCCCAGGCCCATCTGGACTTGTAGTTGTGTTGTAATCCTCACAACAGGTCACAGGCTCAAATTCAAGCCAAAAAATGGAGCCTCGTAGCCTCAGATATCTTTGTACACACAGCAATTACCAGACAGTACATGGAAATCTGGACTAAACACTGCAAACAACTTGGTAAAATACAATATGAGCTTATGTGAAAACATTGTAAATCACCAAATGCCTTGATGGGTCACAGACAAAACAGAAATACAGAAATAAACCCTTTAAGAATGGTTCAGAAACAAGACTGTTTAGTTAATCAAGGACTATCTAAACCATAATACAATCATGAGTAAATAAAATTATTATTGTGACCATTTTTAAAGCAAACATTTGTTATTTCCAGTCAATCTATATTCCAGAAAGTCAACCTATGTGATGTTCAATCACATGGGAGGGGCACAAAGTAGAGCCACTGCTCCTTCACGCCCAGAGGGCCCAGCTGAGGTGGTGCGAGCCCTGGAGAGGCATGTGCCACCAGGAGGAGACCCAGGGGAAGACCCAGGACACTCTGGAGGGACTATGTCTCTCAGTTGGCCTGGGAATGCCTCAGGATACCCCCCACAAGAACTGGAGGAAGTGTTCCTGCACCTAATAAAGTGAAAGAAAAAAAATCTAAATCTAGATAGAAAATAAAAAGCAAAAGAGATCTAAATATTGTTCAATCAGCCTTAAGCCAGATGCCATGAATATTTGACTTTGTGTGATCAGGGGGGTCAATATTGTGCGAATGCTCTGACAGTAATCTGACAATGCCTGGGAGGTCAAGTGGATCATGACTTACCTCAGCTTAAGCTTTTAAGTAAGCCCATCTGTCCCTCCAGTCACACTATAAGCCCATTAACCACTGCTCTGCTCCCTTATTCTGTAATGGGACTAATTATAATAGGGGCTACAGATAATAAGATGCACTCAAATTAACAACTGTGCTCTATATGGTAAAGACTGTTGAGCTGTTTGTTGGTTGGGAAAAAAGAAAAAGAAAAAAAAAGCAGTAGCCGGTTAGGGGGGAAAAGGGAACTGTTTCTACATGATGAGGTCTACAACAACAAAATGCATGTAGGTTCTTAGAAATTATTGTAGGTTCTAAAAATTACTGACAGAACTGACTTCTGCTGCTGCTTCTAGTATATCACCTGCATGATTTCATGGGAATAGAAAGTTAAAACAACCATACTATGTTTTATGCCATATCTTACTTATTTACTTACAAGTCAACAAAGCAGCCTTTCTCTGCATGGCTTGAAAACATGTTATTTGTTAGGACCGGCAGTTGCAAAAATCATGCATATGATATGGGGTTCCCATGGCAACTTCCTGTCTATACCAGTACTGCCAATTTCATCATAGAAGTATATCAACACTTCCATAACTTGTACACATTTCTAGCATACAAGGTCCCATATTACACAAAACCGACCCTTGTAAAGCAATGTTATAATGCTGTTGTCTAATAAAAAACATGCTTGGAGCTGTGTTTTGTTTTATTCACAGAAGAGAAGAGCTCACTCTATATGCAGGGTTTGTGTGTTAAACATGTGTGAATGAAACAAAACAACACTCCAGGAATATTTTCGATGAGGAAACAACATTATAACATAGATCAGAAAACAGAGTAGTATGGGCCCCCTAAATTTAAAACTGAAATTGAAACTTTTGCTTGTACCAGAGTGAGGCCCAACTCATTGTGTGAGACTGGAGGTAGTGCTGGTCCATCAGCCACAAATCCTTCAGCAGATACATGATTAGAAAAGACATCTCTCTCAAACACAGCCCACCTGGTACAGATTTTCTCTGAGCCCCCAAAAAACAAGCCTGGTTTGAAGAAAGAGGCTCACAATCCACCACAGAAGGGGAACAGAGCAGAGGGGCTATTCAGCAGGAAAGAGCCAGTCCAGCAAAAGAAACTCAAGAACAAAGAAAGAATAGAAGTGACAATTTTGAGCTGAAAAAGTATTGAGAATGCAAATCAGTTGGTAACAGAGTCAGTATTTTTGAAGTATGTGGAGGTCCGCACAAAAAGAGAAAAAGAAAGAGCTCAAGCAACTTACTGATGGTTTGAGCTGCAAAAAATGTTAAATGTTTTTCTTCAACTGTTTTATATTTGATCTAAGCCTCTTGTGCTGAGGGAAATAATGTGGAGACAACTCTTCTCTGTCGAAAATGCTTCTAAAGATTCAATACATGTTTGATTGGTTTATGGTATAGTCCATTATGTGCGGGTAAATGGCAAATGGTCACATTGGATTCTACTTTCAAGGCGCTCAAAGCACTTAACGTAAAGAAACCACTAACCCATTCACACACACATTCATCCAACAGTGCACACAGACACTGGGGAAGAAGTGGGTAAGTGTCTTGCCCAAGGACACAACAACAGTATTAAACTATGGGAGCTAAGATCAATCTGCTACTGATGAAACCACAAGGTCTTCTAGCACTGTATAACCAAAGATTGTTTTGTCACTATCCATGGGTTTAAGGTTACGTTTACACTGAAACGAATTGGAAACAATTTGTGTCAAGACACGTCATTTCTGTATCTGCAAGCCTTCCCTATTCACATAGCTTTGCACATATTTGTTTACGTTTACGAAACTTAAAACCGTATGGCTAATCTGCATAAACTGAGCGCTCAAAAAACAGCTTGCTATTGTGCGCTGATGCGGTTCAGCTTCTGTTGGACTAAAGGACATGAC